AAAAAAAAAGTATTTTACCCATAACGTTAAATTTAAAAAAAAAAAAGTATCAGTAACACCTAATAAAAGAATACTAAACTACAAAAGTAGGAATGCAAGGGGCAAGACATACTTTAGGAATGCTAAGGAAACAATGGTAAGGTATAGCAGGAGTATATATATTTCTTATATATACAAATCCTAATAGGATTTCTTCTTATATATGAGAGGTCCCAAATGACTGACTTTAAAGGCTTGGAAAAATGGCAGAATTGGTGATGAACATGAAGAAAACCATGAGCAGTCAGCCCCTGCAGCAGGGCAATTACTTTAATCACATGAAGCTTGAGGGAGTAGTGACTATCTATTTGAAATGCAGAAAGGGGAAATCTGAGTAGGAAGGCTGGGAATATAGTAGTGCACTACTACCAGTGCCTGAAACCAGGTGGATGCCAGTATAAGGGATAAAAAAACCCAAGGACTTGGAACAGATCCTCCGAAATCGATAGAGAAACGGGAAATGGAGAGGAAGAGGACTCGCCACCAGGTATCCTAGGAGTTCTCAGCTAAGCCGGAGGGGAATAAAAGGCATAAAATCCAAAAAGGAACAAGAGAGTCTCCAGAAGCTGTCCTTCAGTCCAGGCTGTTTGGGTTTTAATATGTTTAGCAATGTTATAGTCATATGCTTTTTCAAATATTTGAGATAGAGGAAAGAACACCTCCATTCTGTAGCCGTTTTGTAATAGGAGATACAGCTGTAGACATACAAATCAGTTTTTCCACTGAATTTCAGTCTCAGTGTTTTCCCAAGGGCTTGCTCCAAAACAAGTATCCAGTAGTTGAGAATTACTAGTAAGATAAACTATAGGAAACCTTAACGTTATCTGAAAACAAGCATAGACAGCACATCAGAGACCAAAGCATCCTGCTGTGTTAGCATCCTTGAGTACCACAAGTCATCTTCAAGCTCTCATTCTTTTATCTGTAAAGGAGTGAAATACCTGTTGAGTCCTAACTAATTCTGAGTTCTTGTTCCTTTCAGATTATTCCTGGAAAACCAAAGCTGCTCGTGCTCAGTTACCAGGTCCTACTTTCAATTCAGCAGCAAAAAACGTGACTGTTTTAACTCGCTCACCAACAATTCAGCCAGTACATGGAAGAACAGACTGGGTGGCCAAATACGGAGGAAACAGATAGAAAATGCCATCCTATGTAGATATTGTGTGAGCTATGTTCAGTTCTCCTGCACTGGAAACCTGAAATGCCTATTTGCTCTCACTTTTCCTAAGACTATGCAGTAGTAAAGAAGAAAAAAAGACCTTTTGTTCTATTACCTGTATAATACATATAATACCACGTAAAATACTGGCTATAAAGTAGGATTTATTGAAGTATTGTGTAACACGTATTGCCAAAACTACTGAGAAGTAGATTTCACTCGACGTTTTTCTATAGATGGATCTCCTGTCCTCGTACTCTTAAAACAACTGTTATGGTTGTTCGCCCAATGCAACATCCTCTATTGGCATGTGCTTGCTTTCAAGGACACAAGCAGCTAGAAGCAGGGCTAAAGCAGGGCGGCGGCAGGCTTTCAGGTCTTGGGCTGGCTCCTTACCAGAAAGATGAGAGTGAAAGCACAGATCGGGCTTTGTGAAGAACTCCACGCTCTCACACAAGGATTTCAGAACTCGCTTGTACCTAAGAGTTACTTGGGGTCTGTAATGTGCAAATATTCATAATAGCAATGAGAACTTAACTCCTTGTAGCGGGACATAAGCAATCCATTGATAAATACTACACAAGGAAGGTCTAAAAACTTGGCCCGTATATGGCTATAGAATGATACAGCAATATTGGAAAATATTTAAACAAGTACTGAATGCTAGACTTTCGTTGCCAAGCTGTAGTGAAGCCTAAAAATTAGATTCTACTGTTATAATTAACTTATGACCATTTTTGGTCGAAGATCTGTGGAGATTTGTATCTGTCCTGTCAACGGGGGGTCACAGTGACATTTTAAGGAGCCTGAGTCACTGCAGTCTGTCAGTCATTTTAAGGGTGAATTAGCCAAAAAGGCATGAATTATCAGTAAACTCCTGTTTCTACATGTCTTTATTGGGTGATCAAACTAAACTACAGAAGTTGAATAAGCTACATGAGGGAGGATATCGGGCTGTTCTTCAAAGACGTTGCTTTCTGGTTTAGCTCTTAAAGGCCAACTTAGGTACCTGAAAAAACACACAAACTTTAATAATGCAATACCTCACTGTTTATATGCTCATTCAGTACCTTCCCTGGCTTCTGTGCTAAGTTTTATAGTAGTATCCCGCAAAGGACCTTCCAATGTACAATAAATTGTTTTTTAGGATGTTGAGCTAGGCTACTTCTGTTAACAACTGCATTTAGAATACATGCTTTAGACCTAGTAGTTACATTAAACCTGCCATTTTAAAGTACAAAATTAGTATGTTCTTTAAGGATGTAAAGCTGTTAATGATTACTTTAAGCATTGTAAAAAAGAAATGTATTTGTATGGCTTTTATAACTGCATATAAATATTTAAATTCCTGTTGTTGACCTAATGTGCCATAATATATGGGTTATGTTAACTTACTGGAAATCAATTTAATCTAAACCAGTTGTACCAAAAAGTCAAGTATTCTGTTATGAAAATCGCACCTAAAGAAAATGCCACTCTAATACTGGAAGAGCCATACCGAGATAGGGATATCTGGTTAGTAATGCACTGGAGACTTTAATTCAATTGCCGTTGGTCTAGGCTTAAGTATTTGTCATTCCCTTAGTATTAACAGATGTCCCTATGCTATTTAAATGCATCTTAATTTATCTGTAGAATATATCTGTAACCAGCTACGGCAATGAGGGACAACCTCAGACTTTCTGTAACAGGCATAAATGCACTGGTTTTATAATTAAAAAATGAGAGAAATTAATCACTCCTCTCTAGTACAAGATGTCTGTGACTTAGTTAAAATCACAGTCTGGTCAAGGAATTAACTAATAATGTGTCCGTAGCTCACATGTCCATAAATCACCTAGAGCAGAAAAATAAATAGGTACTATTTATGGCACTAAATATGGCTAGAAGAAACATGCTGTTCTTACCATATGCGAATGAACATTGAAATGGCTTTGACATAACCGTAACAGCCTTTACTTGTCCATAACCAAAGCATGACAAGTGCTAAGAAATTCTTCTTGTAAACAGCAAGAACAAACAGTAATAAGAGGCTGATAGGCTTTGTACAGTCATTTTAACTCCGATTCATTGGTACACATTGAACTTGTTAGTGCAGAAATGCCATCTAATGCTCAAGAAATTTAGTATATGCTGATAAAGTTCTAAGGGGGTAAAAAGTATATAAGGCTCAAGCTTTTCTCTCCTCCCTTTGTCTGGATTACTACTGTTTCTCCTGATCTGAAAAGTGGTAACGAGTTCTACCAGCAGTTCTCAATTCAAGCTACTGCTTTCCAAAGCTCATGGAACAGCAGCAAGGCTTAACACTTTGCTCTAAGAGTTTAAAAGCTTGTCAGTCCAATTCCCTGCTTTCAAGTGTCTTTATTCCATTAAAGGACAACTGCAGCCCAAATGTGCAAGTTACCCGATTTGAGACCAGCATTGTACGATTAGAAAACTGATGGATCGTGGCTGTTCTCAGCTTATTGCAGGGGATACATTTATGTTTGCATCTTACTTCCACAGAAGATAACTGCTTCAAAAGCAATATGAAGAGGCAAATAACCCGTACGGTAGTTTAAAGAGAAGTGTCTTAAATGCTAATGTCTGGCTTATTAAACCTGTCCAAGCTAGGGCAAAGACATCCAGACACCTGCCCACCAACGCTGGGTCCACGGCCTGGGATTAGGCACTTAAAAGGATGATTTATAAACAAACCGTCTGTTGTCCTGCGCACCCCTTGTTTCTATGCAGGGAGGCCAAGAGAGCGAAGTAAATACGGGTGAGCACCTGAAGCTGAACTCTGCAGGTTGACGAATAAAGGCTCTAGGAAGGTGCCCTGGTACAGTTCACCCCCAAGAGCTCTCGCTGCCTGTGCTCAAGCCAGCTCTGACCCAAATTGTGGGGCCTGGGAGCAGGCTGCTGAGACCCGTGCCCTTGCCGGAGCTGTGCGGCAGCTGTGCCCCTGCCTGGCCCACGTCCCTGCGGATCTGGAACCCAGCCTGCTGCCTCGGCATCCTGGCTTGACCGCGGCCCTGCCTCATCACTGCGACCTGCCTGGCAGACCACTGCTCTGCTGGCAGAGCCTGGCTACTGCCACCGGACTAGCTCTGCACCTCCTGCTCAGGCAGTGCGGGGTCACTGCCCTGCCCGTTCTGCTGCGACAAGGAAGGAAGGAGGGAAGGAAGGAAGACCACAAGATACCACCCTCCCACTAAGGTACTGGCCTGATATTTAGAGAACTCTGAGCGACTCCAGAGTCTCACCAATCTAACAGATGGATCCCACTGCTTCCATCTCTCCCAGTACCAGCCACCACAGAAGAAAGGTTGAGGAAATCGAAGCTCAGGATCTGTGCAGGAAGGGACATAAGTTAAATGAGACCAGAAAAGGAATACACTACCATCTATGTGTAGCTCCCAGGATTACTTCTGCATGGCAGGTTTATATTTAGAACGATTTCAGGCATCAGGGGAATCGGCTGAGGACAAAGACTGATCAACTGAGCCTTTCAGTCTTTAAATAAACTTTCATAGAGCGTTTTTCATATCTGAAATAGATGATTCCTCTCAGAAAAAAAAAATATATATTTTAATGTAACACTTGTCTGAACATATGGTCTGTATGCTTTTGTTCTCTATACTTCCTCCCAGTTCATGGGATTTTTATATTTACAAGTCACTACATTCAGGGAATGGAATAGAGATAATTTACACAATCCACATTCACAAATATATCCAGACACCCTGCGGGAAAAGCACCAAACTGTATCAATCCAGACGAACAATTAAAGAAAAAAAAATAGTTGTGTGGAACACAGAAGTTTGTAATAATAATTTGTTGGTTTATTTAGAATAACATTTTAATTCTCATGAATTGCAAGAGCTATGCCTACAGTTCAGCATTATCTAATAAAGCATATTTTTGATTTATGAATGATAATCTGTAAAAGTGAAATGATGACATTTAGCTGGGCACTTTTGCTTACAAGTAATTGCAAGTAACAGGTTTGCCTTCATTGCATTACAGCAGAACCTTGACGGCCTGCTCCGTGATTGTGTTTTGTGGGACCAGGTTCTAACGCACAGTGCTGGGAGAACAAAGTCCCTGACTGACAAACATGATGACCGGATAAACTGGCAGGGAAGTGGAAGGGGAGAGGTGACGTAATAAGCATGTTTGTTATATTAATTACTAGTGAGGAATTGGCAACTCCTCTCTCCTCGTTTTAGAGGTATAGATGATTTTAGAATGACAAGTCCAGATGTACATTTACGCTTCGGTCCTGCAACTGTCTGTATTCAAGTGCCAAGAGGTCTTTGCCTGCAGTAAGTTGCAGGACCAGAAGCCAAACTAATGCTATACTCATATTTTCTTGCTTCACAGTGCAGAAAATGTTAAGACAAATACCATTCTGGAAGACATAACAGGGATCTCGGTGTCGGTCCTTTAAAAACACAACCCACATGCATTAGGATATGAAAAATACAATGCATAGACAGCAGTGCCTTTTCCACTTTTGTGTAGCACATTTAGGCAGTTGCATTTTCAGGCTTCTCAAATCACGTATCTTCAAGGGACTTGATGCAGACTTACGGCTTAAGAGGCTTTTCCATCATCTGCAATCCAAGCCGTCCAACCATCAGTAAACTGTTGAACAAAACAGTTGTTATTAAAAAAAAAAGGGGGGGGGGGCAAAAATCCCATGAAGAAAACGAAGGAAGAAAACATTGACATGATTTCATTTAGCTGAACTCCACCGTAAGACTTCATTTTTCACAGAACTTACCACGTAACATTTTTAAAACAATATAATCCACAAATAAGTTAAATAAAATGCCTATTAAAAAATGCAGACAAGAACAAAAGACAGGTGACTACCTGGCACCAGCAATTATCCCCGGCATTGCTTTTCTGGAGTTGTAAAATCTCATTCCCATAACAGCAGACAAGGTTCCAGACGCCACTGTTGAAAAGAAGATCTATCTGAAATGGAGACACCAGCGCAGCACTGCAACGCTTGGACATGCAGCAGTGCCAGCCAAACAGGCCTATGTCTACAGACAGGAACGCCTCCCTCCTCTCCACAAGGAAGCATATGCCAACATTTTACTTATTTTTCTTGAAGAGTAGAGCTCTTGCATGCTTCCCAGCAGCTTCGGTAAGCACGCTCCACTCCTCATTAGAAGCGAGTAGATCTCATAAGGGTTGAGACCACTGTCTAATCGCCCACAACCTCCAGTCCTCCGGGCAGATCACTAACCTTCCCTCAGTTTCTCCTTGCTTGCAGAAGAACAATTATTTCCTTGAATACAGATAGGCTCAAAACTGCCAGAAAGCTGGGACGGTGACAAAGCTCACTATGTGGGAGGCAAATATTATTACAGTTCCCATTTCTCTGTACTGGAAGGTGGCACTAAATACTACAACTAGAAATAAAACAACCCCACCTGAACATATGAATTAGCAAACAGAAAGCAATCGAAGGGATCAAACTGAAAGAGCGACTAACATTTTAAACGTTACTCCGAATTATTTAATCTCAGTCTGGAAAAAAAATCCCATCAATATTCACATAAAATCATAGAATCATAGAATCATTAAGGTTGGAAAAGACCTCTAAGATCATCAAGTCCAAGGTGATGTGCTACAGGGCACAATCCCTGGCACCACATGGAGAAGCCTCCCAGGCACTGCACTGGATGCAGTCCCAGCTCCTAAGGGAGGGTGCAGCTCTCCTGGTCTGCAGAGGTGCCTGGGACTGACTGGCTGGAGAGCAGCTTTGCAGGAAAGGTCCTGGGGGTCCCAGGGTGTCACAAGAAGTTGCCCATGAGGCAGCAACATGCCCTTGCAGTAAAGAAGGTAGATGGCACCCTGGGCTGCACCTAGGAAGGTCAAGGGAGGTGAACCTTCAGCTCTGCTCTGTGGTGAGACACAGCTGGAGTGCTGGGTCCAGGCCTGGGCTCCCCAGTGCAAGGCAGACATGGACATACTGAATTCTCTGGACACGCTCCAACATCTCAACGTCCTTCTTGTAGTGAGGGGCCCAAAACTGAACACAGTATTCGAGGTGCGGCCTCACCAGTGCCGAGTACAGGGACACGATCCCTTCCCTCCTCCTGCTTGGCCACACTATTTCTGATACAGGCCAGGATGCCATTGGCCTTCTTGGCCGCCTGGGCACGCTGCCGGCTCATGTTCAGCCGGCTGTCAACCAACACCCCCAGGTCCTTTTCCGCCAGGCAGCTTTCCAGCCACTCTTCCCCAAGCCTGTAGCGCTGCATGGGGTTGTTGTGATGGAAGTGCAGGACCCGGGTTACAGGGCCATTGTTTCTTTGAATAAGAAAGGCAGGTGGAGGTGTTGTATACCTTTCTCCAAAGCTTCGAGTTTGTTTGCATCAGACAGTGCAAAAGGTATTCTAAAGATACCCTGTCAAGGTTCTTCTTCTGGATTTCTACCCTTGATGTACTGTGACCAACCTAAAGCTCAGCAGGAGCCAAAACTGCACATCACAGCAAGGCTGAGGAAGAATGGATGAATAAAGAGTTGTACTAGACTGGGACGCAACACCGCTTTCAGGAGGTCCACTTGAAAGCACTACATGCACCACATCAGGATATACGGAAGCTGCTCATCTTTCTGTCATGACACTGCCTAAAAACTCGTGCCGGAGATGCACAGCCACTCCCACAGTATGCCTGAGTGGAAGAGAAAGTTCACAAGTGGAAACTTTGCTTCTTATTGAGCTGTGTTTTACATTTCATTCCTTACTGACAAGGCAGTTTGGTCCTCTTCAGGATCTACCAGAGGCTTCATAAAGCCTTTCAGCACATTACGTGATCAAGTCCCCTTGGTTTTAAGTAGTCTGAAATCACTGTAATGCTATAGCATCATAACACTAATAACACTATGGCGTAGTTACAGAACTAGAAGGAACCTCAAGAGGTCACCTAGGCTAACCTAGTGCCCAAAGGCAAGATCAGTTCCTGACAGATACTGGGCTAACCAGTTATTAAAGTCCTGCAGTGATCGAAGTCCCGGAGGTTCACCTGATCTATTCCTTCACCTGGAAGGGTTAACCGCAAGCTAAGCCCACAACTTCTTGTCCCATCTACCTGTAAGCAAGGAGAATAGATCGTTCCCTCCCTTCTTTTACATACTTCAGACTGTTTCTTCCACAGCATGTGATGGATTAAAACATATACTGCTCTTCTCCTGAGATGCTTGTGCAAACCAATATTCCATAAAGCCACATACTGCTTGTCACAGTGCTTTCACTATTGCTAAAATGCCTATTCCATGACCATAGACTAAAAATGCTGCTTCACAACCAAACATTTTTCATGTACGTTTGCTGTGCCTGCATCAGTTCAACACGGTACCTCATCTGGCAGAGGAGATAGGTATTTCTCACCAACTCTGGCTTCCAGAAGGGCAACCTACATCTTAGAACCAGGTACCGTGCTCTTACACAAATACATCCTGGCTACGGGCAGGAGGTCCTGCCACCGCTTACAACATCTGTATAAATAAAAGGGCACAGATAGGCCGAAACGTGCTAGAAAAAAGGTTACTATTCCCACTGCTACCAGTAATGCTTAGTACTTGGGTGCCGAGCAAACTTACCGAGGGAAAGCCACACATTCCTTGGATCTTTGGACTGCTGGTAGGCACCTAGTCCTGCTAAGCCACCAAAGAGAAGACCTGCTGCTAGAGAAGGGACGCTGCCTTGAATAAAATGAAAAATAAAGCAGTTAGTGAAAGAACACATATAAAGCATGCCTGCAAACCAAACAAAAGCACTTGCAAGTTCACACTCACTGCTAACAAAAAACCAAAAAAAATCACAAACCCAATCTAAACCAAACAAAAGACACTGGAGTGGGGTTTTTTTACTAGTAAGATACTTTGCAGACCTCAGCCGAGCACCGTTTCCACGCAACGAAGGATTTAGCACGGTTTGCCGGGGTCACTCCCCGCAGCGGACCAGGACCGTGCGCCCGCGCTTCCCGCGGCCCCGGCCGAGGCGGCAGCCTCCCGCGGGGCGCTCAGAGGG